CCTAGCCATCGCTGGCGACTCAGGGCAGCCCAGCTCCAGGTTGAGCTGTTGTTCAGCATCTTAGCTGTGGAGGGCAGTGTCACCGGCCCTCATATGTGGGATCCGAACCGGGGCCCTCTGGCGTCCCAAGCCAGTTCTTAACCAACGCGCCATTTGGCCAGCCCGAGGATATACACATTTTAAAGATGGTACCTAGCTTGACTCCTTTAGAACTAGGCCAGAGGTAAATTTCCCAAGTAAAGTAAAATGGGCTTCAAAGGCTGGGTTTCTCGCAGCTTGTTCTCAGTTGGTGAGGGGTGACGAAGCTGGCCATGAGGTATCCTGTCATTCATATGGAGTAGTTACAGGATCTTCAGTTTCTCCTTGACTTACAGAGAAAGTCACCATCATATTATGAAATGCCATCTTTTTTTCTTGCACTCATGCCATTTGAAAACTCTTTGGCTGTACAATGTTTTCTTCATCAACAGTTTCACTTCTGCAAAAAAAAACCCTAACAAAACAGAAAACTATTTCTGGGAATAAAGTTAACGGCAGATAGCTATCTAGATATATATTGGGACTGGGGTTTATTCAAGGGTTGAAGTGTATGGAGAATTTGTTACACTAGGAAAACAAACTATTTCAAAAATGCTTTCAAAGCCTATTTCACCTCAAAAAACCCCTAAGTAGATTTTGTATGTTTCCCATATATGTGTTTATACCTTTGCCTCTTTCACCCCCTAAGACCCCAAATCAAACACCAAAACCATAATTCACCCTTACGTTAGAGTCGTTCAAAATATGTGTGATGTTTGGTAAAGTTCAAGAAAAGTGAAGTTGAAGGTTTCGCCTCTGCGTGACCTTTCTGAGGCTATCTTGATTAATACAGAAATGAAATTTAGGATGTATGTGACTGCCCTTGGCTTAACTTAAAAATTCACCAGGAAACTTTAGGATGTCTGTTTAAACAGAAATATTCCAAACACCCTAGTTCCTGGTAGAGGGATACCTCAGGGAAGGTATAGGGATTCCATTTGGAAATTACAGAAATGTGCATATATTCATTTAAAATAGAAACTTCCTACCGCAACCACCAAACTTTCCAGGCTGTGAGCAGAAGAAAAGCTTTAATTTGGTTACAGGGCCGGGGGGGGGGGCGCCCCCTTTCCGCGTTTGATGAAATGTAAAACGTTAGAGAATTGTCTTTCCAAAACATAAACACCCCTTTGCTTTATTTTAATCTGTGATTTTTCTTTTGTTCCTGGTTTCTATTTTCATAATGCATCTTACTGATCTTTTTCCTCCAACCTATTTTTGGACCTTGTGTGTCCCACTTTACTTTGCCCAGTTAAACCACAGAAACGAACGGAAGTTATGTTTAGTATGTATAGGCGGCAAGTCAAACTACTGGGTACGTAGGATCTAACATGCAAATTGCACTGCTCTTCTGGATGAACACAATAGTTGGTTTCTTGCCATCATTTGCCATGTTTTAACTTCAAACAAATAATAATCCTTCCCATCCCATCCAGTTGTTTTGATTGATCTAACAAATACCGTCTATTTGAGTTTAAACAGTGGATCTGCTGAAGCTCTCCTCCGCCTTTCCTTGTCAGTTGAATAAGCATTTTCAGTTAAACAGTACTTTTCTTAAAAGCAGATGATTCGTTGAGCGCTGCACTACTTCAGAGGGAAAGGAAGTATTGATTCTGAGATGGAGACCAAGGAACAAAGAGATACCTTAATGTTACAGATAGTTCCTTGCTCTGAAGAAGAAAATGAAACATTAGATGTTTTGGGTGGTTATTGCGCAACGAGATAGGTAGATAACAGAAAAATATTGCTTGTAGATTCTTTCAACTAAATCTAGAATTTGTAATCCATCACTTTGAGCTCACCTTTCATTGGATCTGAGTACAGGACCATACTTGGTTTAGAAGCTGAGGATATTGCCAGAGAAGAGGAAACGTGGTTTTAATGTATTGGTGACATTAATTATGTGACATAGAAAAGCCATTTTTGAGAGTAATAGTCTTTAAAGCCATTCTCTTGGACATACTGCTTTATTTCCTCCTCTTACCCCCCCCCTTTTACTTGAACTAATCACTGGTATAGAGAGAAAAAAAAATGGACATCTGTTGACCTGAGTCCAAAATAGGTTTAAAACCCTATTTTAAACCTTTCCAGAGTTTTTGTTATAAATCCCAAATGCTAGAGAACTGAAAGATAACCCTATAGTGTCGAGAGGGGGCAGGTGGAACGGCTGTGCAGGCTGGCTCTGCCCATGCTCAGATGCTACCCCCTACCCCTTTTGCCTCCCACCCTTTTCCCTGATTTCACACCTCAGTTCCAAGTGTTCATTGTCTTCTCCCCCCTCCCCTCTTCCTGTCCTTGTTTTTAACAGCAGGAACGAATTTCATATACACCTCCCGAGAGCCCGGTGCCCAGTTACGCTTCCTCGACTCCACTTCATGTTCCAGTGCCCCGAGCGCTCAGGATGGAGGAAGACTCGATCCGCCTGCCCGCGCACCTGCGTGAGTGTCCGCATGCGCGCCGGGGACGGGGAAAGACAGATGGGCAGATGCACTGACAGCCAGAGGGACCGCAGGGTCAGAATGATTGCGCAGGGCCAGGGGGCAGGGCTTCAAGCTGGAGAAGCGCAAGCTCTGAGATGGTTTTCACATGACTTCACGAAGCTGCTTTGCAATCTTTCGCCCCCTCCCCAGAATGGTTTTGAAAACCTTGAGATTTCTTCCCTTTGTTTTTCAGTGGATTCACTTCGGCTCTATGACATGTTATCCAAAAAGCTGGAAATGGGCAATACATGGCAGAGCCAACTAAATCTAAGAGGCGAGGTGAATTTGTTGGGACAACTGATCTTCCTATAAATTCACACTAACTCCCCTTTAATATATATATATTTTTAAGATTTTTGTTGGGGAATTGGGGGATGGGAACAGCGCTGGGGAATTGGGGGAAGGGGAACAGACAAGTTGGTGTCACTGGCCCTCATATGTGGGATCCGAACTGGGGCCCTCTGGAGTCCCAAGCCAGTTCTTAACCATCGCGCCACTCGGCCGGCCCCCTGCTTTGCTTTTTAAGCTCTGTGTTCGTCCTGTCTTTATAGAGCCCCCCTCCACCCGCCTTTTCCATGCTGGCTGCTTTTCTTTCCTGCATTTTCTGTGCCTAGACAGGGCCTTTCTCTCCCCCTCCTTTCTTCTACTCCCCTCTGCCTTGCTTCTCTTGTGCCTGCATGCCTCCACAACTTCCCTCAGTTTATAGTATTTTCACCTTTCTCTCCCAGATCATCTCTACCCCTTGCCTCTGCCACCTCCCCTGTCTGAATCTCCAGCTGCAGCTTGGCAGGGCGTGAGGGCCAAGATACTTGTGCTGCTGAGGCCAGGCTCCAGCGCAGCCGACACCTGTCATTTCCTTTTCTGTCTTTCTCCTGCGCTGCCCCCCAGCCCAGATGATACCATGCGATGGGGGAAGCTAGGGAGAAGGAATCACCTGATTCCCACCATAAGCACCATGTCCAAGAAAATGCCAAGTTCCCTGGCTTGAATATTATCCTGAGGGCACACGTCCAGGTTATGGAGGACACTGGGGGTCACCTTGGCCTTTCCCTAGTTAGCTCCTAATCACTTAAATTGTGGCACAGCCTGCCATCCTGTTCTGGCATGGTAAGGCTCCCCAGGTTACTCTCCTCCTCTTCTCCCTCCTTGGAAGCCAGAAGGTTGCTTGCTGAAAGCGGAGAACAATAGGAGACAGAGGACGCAGGTATCCCTTTTCACTTTCTGTGATAATTCAGGGAATCAGATGACTATGATGCTGGAATGTACTAGGGGGACATTGCTGGCTTATCCCTTGTCCCCCACAGTAAGGATGGTTGCTGGGCTTTCGGCAAGGAGTTGGGGCCATGAGAATTCTTCTCCTGCAGCTTGCTGTGTCCGTCAGTATTTACAGAGTTGCTACGTGTTATGATCAGCACATTCCACCTTCACTTGGGCACGGAGATAAAGGGCATAGCTTCACTATACCATCTTCTCAGTTAACTTTTAAAGATGAAATTGGGACTGTAAAGGTGCCAAGGTCATGGCTGCAGGCGTTGCTGTCCTTAGGAAACTGGAGTGTTATAGGACCATTGGAGCACACAGGATTGCAAAAGAAACCACAGCCAGGCAATAGCACCTTTCCCCCAGCAGCTGCCCTATGACTGGTATGTTCACCTCAGGATGGAACACATCTGCGCCATGCAGACAAAGCACCCCTACTACCTAATTTCATTCATTTATTCATTTGAACAAATAGTTATTGATTAGCTGTGCTGTGCCAAGCACGCTTCTGGGTGCTGGGGATACAGAAATGAACAAAGCAGACCAAACACCCTTGCCTAGTGCAGAGAGAAAACAATTAGGAACACTTGTCCCAAATGGGCTGCTGTTTCTTTCATGGCTTTTTATTCCTATACTTTGACACATCCCCCCAAGGACGCCCTAATTTCTGGTTCAGCTCTGGATGCCTTTGCATATGTCAGCTCTTTTTTACCACAGACCCGCTCTCCATAGGAAGTTATCATAGTAAAACCAGCATACACACCGAACTGGCAGTCAGGAGATCTTAATTGTTAACTAGTTCTGCTGTTAAGCCCGCTGTTGGACTGTGAGTCAGTCACTGCAATACTCAGTTTTCCTACCATACAATGTTGTGATTGCATAAGAGAACATTTAATAGCCCTCTTCACTTAAAAATATTATGATTGTCACCTAAGGAATTAATCTGTTTGGAACTATTTCTTCTGTACCAGCACTTTAATTTTACAGGGGGGGAGCAGACGGTTTCTTCGTTGAGCCATAGCCATGCTGCTCACCCCTGGTTTGCCAGGTCCTGCTGTGTGCCTAGCACACGATCGTAATAGCTAATATTTATTGTGGGATTACCCTGTACCAGGCACTGTGTTAAGTCCTTTATGTAAATTATCTTATTTAATTCTCACAGCAGTGCTTGTAAGGTCGATATTCTTTTTATATCCATGTCACACACAAGGAATTTAGGGCTTAAGAGAATTGAAGCATCTTGCCAAAGTCACGTAATAAGCGATAAAGTCAGGATTCAAACTCAGTTCTGTTTGACTCGAAAGCTTAGGCTCTTATCTATTATGCCACTATATGTGTTGTGTAAATATTTTTTGGATGGATGGATGAATTCAGGGTTGACACACAGGCATTATTCACCGGTGTGGCCGTAGCATTGGTTTATGGCTAGAATCTGTTTCACTGATTCCATGCTCTGTTAGAACACAGAATCTAACAGTCTGTTCTGAGTGATTCAGTGTTTTAACTGATTGATTATGGTCGATCAGTTGTTGAAGAGTTTGCTCCATTAGGTGGATGGATGATGGAGGATGGATGGATGGGTGGGTGGGTGGATGTATCCTCACCTAGATAATTATCAGATACAGGACTATGTCATATTACTGCTGACTTTAGAATATAATCAGTTGTTAGATTATGGATTCCGGTCTGGGTGATGATTTTGCCTGAGTGCCTAGTCTCTGGCACCTGACTTTAGAGACCTCCTTGGTCATCTGCATAAGCCCTAGTGTGACACCAGTAGTTATGACATCTGGAATGAATCCTCTGAAAGTGGAGGTTCCCAGGCTCTGGCTGTTTGTCCACAGCTGGGGCTTTCCACATGAGGCTGAAATGCCTTCCTCCCTGTCCTGTTCCAGGACTCGGCTGCCCATCAGGCTGTTTGAGAAACATCTCATGTAGCCCCTAGGATGGTTGAGTATACTTGAAGATGCATCCCAGCTGGGTTTCCAAACCTAAAAGAAAATAAATATTCTAACAAGGGAGTTGGGTTATTGCTGTTTTAATCTGGGATTCCAGACAATTCCCGGTGGAATGCTCATGGAAAGTCCGGGGAAGAATCTGGAAGCCAAGACAGCAGCAGGACATTTATGGTATTGCTAGGTTGAAAGCATTTTTAGCTGCTTGTTTTAAAGAGATACTCACCAGACTGGTGTGCCTCCAAGTGGCTTCTTTTCACTCTATCCTCATTGATCTCCAGGTAAACCCTCTCTCTTAGTTCTTTCTTTTTCTCCTTTCACTCTTAAACCAAAATATATCCTTTCCCAGGTGGAGGGAGGGCAGGGATCATAGTATTTAAGATTCTCTTACCGGAGGGTTTCTCATCATCTTGTTCTGCAAATGCAGGGCTATACCCAAACTGAAGACACAGTGTGACAAATTAGCAAGCTATTGAGAAGTGGAAAGTAATGCCTTTTCCTTTTATTTGCCTGTGATAAAAACAAAGTGATAAATGGAGCAGAGTGTTAAGTGGTGACTGCAGAGGACTTGAAAGGTGCAGGCAGGGGCAATGTGGGCCTAAGACAAGAGGAGAGCCGAGAGGAGAAGGGCCAGCCTGGTGCCATCTTGGTCTGGTTTCCTCGCTGTCCCAATTTGCAGGCCCGTGCCCGTCAACAATCCTACAGCGTGTTCCTGGAACTTCCCTGTTTCATCAGGAGAGCAAACACAATATATTTACTGTGTTACTGAGAAGACAGAAAGGCTTTTTTTTTTCCTTCTTCCATCAAGAGTGCCGATTTTTTTTTTTTTAAGCTTGAGGGCAGAAGAGCTGAAGTACAACAATTTTAGCAAATAGATAAAAACAAAAAAGCTCCATTCTTTAACACTTAAAAAAGGACCAAAGACCCTCCGAGTTCCTTGACAAGACCTGCTTGATTCTCTTAAGCAGTGAAGGGCTGTTGCTAGGAGCAAGGCATGCCTTTTTCTGATTCTCACTGGGGAGCTCATGGTGGGAGGAAGAGACTTTTTCTCATTTGTCTGCCTAGAGGCCCCCTTTTTCAAAATTCATGGAGGTGTGAGTGCTTGAGGGCACAGTGAAAGGTGCCTCCTGAAGTCGTGCCAGCCCTGTGAAACTCTTGGCCTCAACAGTGATTCCGGGCTACCCATATGATAATAAGTATGTTTCAGATTGATGGGGCAGCATTTAAATAAGGAAATGTCTTTATTCTAAATTCCTTCCATCATCATTTTACATTTAGTTGATATAATTGCATCTAATTACATAATTGCCATTTGCCCAAAGACTTTGCATTCTTCAGAGCCAGTTTGGTTTTCTGCAATCCCTGTGAACTGGTATTTAAAATTCGGAACCTAGGACTCATTCATCATATTTAATAGGGTTACAGTTTATGATATTGCGGGTTAATAAATAGCCATAATAGCTGCTTGGAGTTTTCTAGAGTCGGAACACCAGAAACAGTCCCTTGGCCCTACTTCCTCTCCTTGTGAATCTTTCAAAATTCTTACATTACTACTCCTACTTGGGTATCTTTAATAATTTAATTTAATGCCTTCCTCTGGAAATGTTACCTCGCTGCTCACCCACTTGGCGATTTTGCATTCTCAGCAGACTGAGTTTAAGACAGTCATGTGACAAGCAAAGCTATATTAGAACCAGGACAGTGAAAAGAGATGCAGTATCTCTTGTTTCTAATTAGCTGGAG